CTTTTGAGTGAAGGCTGTCAGTTTCCTTTCGTAGGGATCTTCTGACTCTTTCGTAGGTGGTGTGGAGACATTAGAGGTTTTCTGTGTCCTCCCGGTTTAAAATCATCTCTTCCTTTTGGGAGGAGGAACTAGTCTTGCCCTAACAGTGAACAAGGACACACAGTAGCCAGCAGAAAAGTTGATCACCTGCCGTTTCTCCAGTTGAGAATTTGCGGGGTTTGTCTTAGGTCAACTATGGAGAGTTTAGAAACTTCCGCCGTTTGACCTTAGTTACTGTGAGGGAGAAAGTTTTTAAACATGTGGGATTTAAAGCAGATGGTGGCTCTGGTACCCGGCAGAGCCTTTGCTTCCTCTTGGTTAATAATTATCTCTTTTCTCCCAAGGTAATTCTTAACAGAAAAGGAAAAACTCACGATTCCCCCAGAGCAGCTGTGTTCTGGCCTGGTGTTTTCTCTCAGGGTCTCTCAGGCCTGCTGTCCCTTTTGGGAGAGCACCAGGTTCAGTTTCTTACAGGTTTGAGATGTCCAGGCCTTTTGACAGTAATTATACATTAGCCTTGTCTCAAGATGGGAAGGGTTAGTAGGTGTCTTTGTCAGGAAGCTCAACAGTTTTAATTACAAGCTGATAATTTGGGCAGTGAATGGATATGCTGAGGTGACAGTGGCATCTGTGGGAAAGACTTGACCATGGCCAGATCCCCCAGCCTTTCCGGAGGTGCAGAGTTTAACAAGGCATCCCTTTGTTCTGTAAGCCCTGAGGGGAATTTTATCACTGTACATCCCAGTGCCAGACACAAGATATCTCCCTGAGGTCAGAGATGCCCCAGAGGTACTGAAAACAACACAGGCTGTTGCCATTCCCCAGGGTTTCCCACCATCTCCAAATGGTAAGACCTTATTCTGAAAGCTGCACTCCGTTTGGATAAAAGCCATGAAGGAGTCAACCTCTGCTGACCAGGAAGCTCCGAGATAGCTAACTCTTGTGGGGCTGGAAGACACTGTGCAGGCTCTTGGGGAGAAAAGACATCAGCCGTCTCATTCGGCAGTGGACCTCATATGCTACAGTACGACAGCCATCCCTGCAGCGTGTGCCCACTGGCACAGTAGATA